GTTTAGTCCAGTTCAGCGTATATAACTAACTTATATTAGTGTAGTACTTAGCCATTTCCAAACACTCAGCAATCTTAATTCATTGGATTCCCATGGCAGTGACTGGTTGAGTCTATACCATGGGTAAGGTCCTGCAGGGAAACAAAGGGCGAGAAAGATGACTCGTGTGGAGGGTCCTGTCCATATCGGCACCCAGAAACACTGTAATTAAATTAATTTAATTTGGGGGCTTAATATATTTGGTTCACTTTTACTTATAATATTTTGAGACCAGAGAATTTTTAGTTGTTTTTTGAGTTCAGGTTTGGTATTGTGAATAAATTACAGAAACAAAGTTCACTTTTTGTTATGGTTTTTATAAATCCTACTCAGGTGCCATTCTAATGTCAATAGAACAGCTTATTCTTATATTTATTTTTAGAGTAGTTATTCATAAAAAGTCATTTGATAGCTAGAAGTTAATTTAGAGATCACCTTCTTCAATCCCTCATTTCACAGCTGAAGGAGACGGGTTCCTTAGGCGACATGCTTGGGGTGGCAAAACTTGGACCAAAGCCCAAGTTCTCATCTGTGTTTTTTTCTCATCAGGCTTCTTCCCCAGAGAATCAGGGTGATTGGAGTTGAGCTTATTTCTGTGCACACACAGATTCAAATGTGGTATGCTTGGTCTTGGAGCACCCAGAAGCAGACTTACTATGAAGCCAGTGAAGGTGCCTCACTTTTGTGTGCCAACGTTAAATAATTTTATCTAAGACAGCGTACTTTCCACTTTACAATACAGTGCTTATACAGTGCGCATTTCCTTTTCCTGTGCACAAAGTCCATGTTCAAGTATCAAGAACACAAAGTTATTTACTACACAGCTGCTCAGCTGTATGGAATTTGGTACAAATTTGGGTCCTTCAGTATTTTGTGTGGAACAACGCTAAATCTATGCTCAAAGTTGGCTTAATCAACCTTTTTGATGGTGGGCCCAGAGGGGGCAGCACCAGATGGCAGCCCCAGGCCTTCCTCCTGGCATGCCTCCTGCGCTCTGGACAGCTTGGGAATGATGAGGTTGCAGACTTCTTCCAGCTCTCTTCACTGATGTTCAGAATGATCAGGCTAGCTGATGGTTTCATTGCGCCTGTCAGGAATCTTCTGTGTGTCCTCATCTTTGATTTTGCCTTGAAGTTTTTAATCTTCAACAGTTGCTTTCATGTTGAATACTTAGGATCCAAGTGAATTCTTGGAAGGCCCCTTGTCCCGCTGCTTCTTGTCTTCAGCTCTGTGCTTCTCAGCTTCCTGGACCATGCGCTGCATCTTGTCCTTGCACAGGTGGCCCTTGTCCTTAGTGATGGTGATCTTGTTCTCTTTTCCTGTACTCTTATCCACAGCAGAGACACTGAGGATGCCATTGGCATCAGTATCAAAAGTGAGTTCAATCTGAGGAACCCCATGAGGTGCAGGAGTTACGCCTGTGAGTTCAAACTTGCCAGGCAGGTTGTTATCCTTGGTCATGGCGCGCTCACCTCGTACATCTCAATGAGCACACGAAGCTGGCTGTTAGAGTAGGTAGTAAAGGTCTGTCTGCGCGGCAGGAGTGGTAGTACTGCGCTTGGTGAGCACAGTAATGACTCCACCAGCAGTTTCAACACCAAGGGAAAGGGGAGTGACATCCAACAGTAACAAATCTTGAACATTTTTGCATTTGTCTCCAGATAGTATGGCGGCCTGGGCAGCTGCAATATAAGCAACAGCATCATCCGGGTTGATGCTCTTTTTCAACTCTTTTCCATTGAAGAAGTCCTGTAAGGGGTTTCTGAATCTTGAGGACCTGGGTAGAACCACCCACCCAAACAATATCATGGATCTGGGACTTGTCAAGCCTGGCATCCCGAGGAAGGGCCCTCACTGAACCTTGAGTGGGGAGGGGGAGCCGGGTTGCAATCAGGAAACATTACTGTATAAGCATTTCTGGTAAATGACCTAAAGAGATGGCCTAAGAAATGGACTTGACTTTCCAAGGTTCTAGTAATTTGTTGTGATTTTTCACATTCTAAAAAACAAAACAAAACAACCTCACTTTGTACATATTTTCTATTTGTAATTTTATATTATTTTTCTTAAAGAAGCACCCTTCCCCTGCTCCAAAATTATATAAATTTCAGGCTCCATGAAACCTGGATCTGTTTCTGATGTCCAAGGTATAATCAGTTGGGAATTTCATTTCAGATTTTTATTTTTAAATTAATTTTTAAAAATTTGAATACATTTAATTTTTATATTTTAAGTTAATTTTATTATAGTAATAAAATAATTACTTTTCTATTAAAAATTATAAATCTATGTTTTAACACAAAGGTGGCTCCTTGCCCCTCCTTCCCCACCTCTTAGTTTGTTCTTCAGATTTAGCCACTTTTGATTCCTTTAGAGTCCTCCCTACTTTTTACCTCTATATTGTTTCATAATAACTTGTTTTCTTTAATTGATCAGTTTTATATCAATTTACAATGATAGGAAATTATTTATTAATAATGGTGTTATATTATTATATCAATTATATATTGACTTTCTGTGATGGTAGCTAAGAATCTAATTTTGTTACTCCAAATATCCTTTCTCTCTCTTCCCATTTTCCCAAAATAATTGTCACAATTTTTGGTTACCTCAATTATCACTATTCACTGTGTAAATATTATTTATAGCAAAAGCAAGTAGTATCCTATGGCATCCTTCCTTGTACAACTTTTTGTTTGTCCTAGAGTTAATAATGATTTTATTATCTTTTGCTTAATTTTCTGTTATTTATCTGAAACACTACCTTTCCTTTCTTTTCATATAGCTTTCTGTTCACAGAGTTCACAATTACTTTGTTTTTGCTTTTACTTAATTTTCTGTGTGTCTAGCCAAATACATAATCAGAACTGTCAACCAGCTATCTTATCAATATTATTTGTGGAAGTGGTCCAACATTTCAGGTAACCTACCAGTCGCCCCCCTGCCAAGACCTCCTTCCACAATTCATCCTCTTGCTCCAGTATGGACTGATTTTTTTCTAGTACCTGGAAATTTCATGTGATAAGCCTTTAGTGAAGATGTTTGGTGAGGATAACACTCAGTGGACCCTTTCTAATTCCTAGGGAATTTGTATATTCAGTATAAACTATTTTATATAAGCAGATTTGAAAAGGTATTTTACCATACAAGGATGACCTTCATTTTTTAGTTGAGTAGGCTTACATAGTAGGGTGAAGAGAGTACTCCTAATAATAGATAAAGTACCACATCTGGATGCCTGAAATGTCCAGTGAATGAAGTAGGATTTGCAAATATATAATTTAATTCCTATTTTTTGACAGGTATGTAGACTGTAGGGTGAATTACATGAATTTTGAATCCCACATAATTATAAAGAATATATTCCCAATTTCTTGTTATTCTCAAACTCATAATGACACTTGCCACTATGAAAACTAGTTTTTAATTTATAGAAGTTAAATATAATTTAAAAACACATGATATATTTTAAATGCATGATATAAAATTCGTTTTTTAATTTTTTTATATGTTTTTATTGATTTCAGAGAGAGGAAGGGAGACGGAGAGAGAGAAAGGAACATCAATGATGAGAGAGTCATTGATCAGCTCCCTACTGGGGATCCAGCCGGCAACCCGGGCATGTGCCCTGACCAGGAATCAAACCATGACCTCCTGGTTCATAGGTCGTTGCTCAACCACTAAGCAACACCAGCCGGACCAAAATTTGTTTTACATACTATTTTTTGTTAGCTGCATTAGAAGCATTTCACAACAATGAGGAGCTGACTGTACTAATTCCAATAACCGCGTCCCTGCCCCCCAGTACTTTACATATGCAGAATATTTGGTTAATTCTTACTCTGTACCATGAAGTAGGCCAATAGCATTGTTTTACTTTGCTGAAGTAGAAATTGAGGCCATTGCAATTAATGTTCAGGTTCTCTTATGGGGGCTTCCTGTTCTTTGATAATTCATTGTAAAGGAGGACTACGGTTTTTCTAGGTAACCCACGATATAAATCAGGGATGGTGCTGATTCTTCAGAGAAGGATTTTTTTTTTTTCCCCCAGTGTGATTCAATATGTTTTAATCCCATCCATTTTGAGCTTGTTGCAACCCAAGTGGAATGCTGTTTAGTTGAATCCTTGTAGGACATGGCCCTGCAGTTTCATTTGATACTTGATTTCCCGAGAACCTCTCTGGAAAAAAAAAAGTTTTTAAATCCTTAAGATCTTGGTTGAAACACTCAGCCCTGATAACCTTCACAGGCAGAAATTAAATATGTTTGATCACATCTTCCTCCCGGAAGGCACTGCTATTGGAATGCCCCTGGCCCCTGTCTATACCTATAGCTTTGAAGCAACTACGCGTCTCAGGATGCAGCACCCAGTCACCCTTCCTCTTCTGTCTTCAGTGCTATTGTCCGCTGAAGGTTGTGGACAGACATATGAGTGGTGACTCCCTAGGGGGAGGTGTAGTCTGCCCTGTTTGCCTGAGACTTTTTTCCAGTTAAGGAATTGGGTGATGGTGGGGTTCACACTGGGTGTGGGGGAAACAGAGGAACACTTACAGGAGATTATGGCAGGATCCCTGGCTCTTTATCAAAGAGGTGGTTGCTCACTTACCTATTTGATGTTCCAAGATTTATAAAATTGAAGGTGCTTTTCTAACATCTCCATTTCAGCTCAAGTTCCTGATATGTCTAGAGAGAGTGTTAGTGGATAATTTGGTGAAGTAATTAATTTCCCTCAGTGTTGTGGGACTTTTCCCTGTATTTTAGGATGTAATTGAGTCTGAACTTGTTCTCGGATGCTGTACATTTCTCCTGCAATTTTGGATACCTTAAAATGAATGATTTTGCTATTTGGGTGTTTTGTGTAAGGGTTTCTGGATACTTGAATTTATATTGTGTTACTGGAAGCTTACCAGAAATGTTTACTCAGTCAGCTGACTATGAAAACTTCTGGTTTGTTTCATCAGTTAGATTCAACATCACTTCTCTCTGAGGACCAGTTAAGGAGTCTTCTGGATGAGTGCACATCCAAACGAAAAACCACAACTGGACTTTCTTCAGAAAGAGAAAAGAAAGATGTTGAGGATGTAACACCTGAGTCCCCCCAGCTTTCCGGATCTGTCCTCTCTGAGTTAATAATTGAGTCAGAAACAAAGGCCGAATGCACAGAGGTGGGAGGTGCAACTATGCCCGAGAATGCAGAGTGTGACACATCCAGGGGCTACTATCTCAGCAAAGCCCTGACTGGACATTATGTGTCACAGGCTCTTGTCATTGAAGCCGAGAATATGAAATGCCTCCAGTTTCCCAAGGACGAGGTTATTAGTGACATAGAGGACTATTTTATGTCGAAGACCCTTGGCATTGGAAGACTGAGAAGGCCTTCTTTTTTGGATGATCCACTGTACGGCATCGATGTGAGCCTTTTATCTGAAGACCAACATCTGAAACTCAGCCCTTCAGAGAAACCAAAAACTGGTAAGGCTTGGAGACTGTGTGCTTTGGTGAATAATTCTTACTGAAGGTGCTTTTCTAACTGAGTATCTCAGTATAAAGGTATTACAGGTTAACGCAGAGTAAGACATGGAGGGGTGTTTGTGAGTCACAGGTGGTGTCGATTAAGAGCATACAAACATGATATAGTTATCAATGTTCACATGAGATCAAGGTTGTGGCTAGTACTCTTATGAAATACATTATTCTTAATGGCAATTAATACATGTCCTTTTTAAAAAAATGTGTTTTTTTTTATTTCAGAGAGAGGAAGGGAGAGGGAGAGAGAGAAACATCAATGGTGAGAGAGTCATTGATCAGCTGCCTTCTGCACGCCTCCCACTGGGGATTGAGCCTGAAACCCGGGCATGTGCCCTGACTGGGAATTGAACCTTGATCTCCTGAATCATAGGTCGATGCTCAACCACTGAGCCACACCGGCTGTGCAATACATGTTCTTTTTAAAAATTGAGGTAAAATTGGTATGTAAAATTATGTAAGTTTCAGGTATATAATATTTTAATTTGGTATTTGTATACACTACAAAGTGATCACCACCAAAAATCTAGTTACTGTTCTTCAGCACATGACTGACCCCTCACTCATTTCACCCACCCCAACCCCCTTCCCCTTTGGCAACCACCAGTCTGTTCTCTGTATGTATGAGTTTGTTTTTGTTTTGTTTTATTTGTTCACTTGTTTGTTTGTTTTAGATTCCACATATGGGTGAAATCATATAGTATTTTTCTTTCTCCATCTGACTTACTTCACTTTGCTTAATAACCTCAAGGTACATCCATGTTGTTGCAAATAGCAAGACTTTGTTCTTTTTTATGGCTGAGTAGTATTCCATCATATATATATATAAAAATGTTGATTTCAACAGAAAAGAGAAATTGGTTTAAATAGGTATAAGTAATTTTAATAGACTTGCTTAGTGTTTCAATTTCTAGACTTCAGTGATGAAAATTTGTTCCAAGGAATGAATTTGTAAAGTGCCATATATCATTGCAGTTTTATTAGTTTCTGTATGCAGACTTCCCATCTCAGCTACTCGTATATTCTCAGGTATTTTGTCTTGATCGAATGTCGCATCTTACAGTGGTACAATGATACAGGATACAAATACTGTGAGCAGCTTTTGACATAAACAAATATTGAATTATTTATCTGTCAGAAGCCTAACATATTATGTGTTGTATTTGGCGAATCTCTTTAAATAGCTTCAACTTTTCTTCTAATTTAGATTACTCCAAAATATATTGTCTGTTAAATCTCTATCTATTACTTATTAAACCTATCACCAATTAATTCTGAATAATTCCTCAGTCCTGTATTTCTCCCTGCCTGCTAGCGCTCGCCTGGATATGGCCCTAACCTGATTTTCTCAGCTTTCTCTCTCAGCTCAGATTTCCTCTTGACCTCTGTTTCCTCAGTCACCCAGGCTCCAAAATCTGAGTCATTGCTGCACCTTTCCTCTCCCTTGCTTCCCACTTTCAACCTCAAATATCATTTTTCTACTCTTGCAGTGTCTCCCATACCCATCCCTCCTCCCTGTTACCTCGCTGGACCAATACGATAACCCTCCAGTTAGGCCTTCCTGCCTCTGGCCTCTCCCCTTCTCTGGCCATTGTCAACTGCCACCAAACGAATTCCCCCAAAGGACAGCTTTGATAACCACACCTCCGGCTCAGAAAGCTTCCACGGCTCTCCACGGCCTACTGCGTGGAACCCGAGTTCTTTCACTCGCCCTTCAAGGCCCCCGAGTTCTGACGTGAAGTTCTCCTCCTAATCAATTTCTGACGAGTCCCCTAAATGTCATTCAGGTTAGAGCTGATCTGGCCCCAGGGTTTCCCGTGTTTTCCTGGGCCTCTGCTGCCGCCCGGCCCTTTTCTTCTCAGAAATGTTCAGGTCCCACCCCTTCAATGGTAGTTGAATTCCAATCCCGTCTACTCGGAGTGTAACCTTCCTGGGCCCCTCTTTTAAACGTTTTATTTGTCCTCTGAATGTCCCACAGCACTGGGCTCCTCTCAGATCATTTTACACAGAATGTCTAGGCCTTGTTATGCCCACACACGTCTCTTCCGTAGAATTGTTTAACTTATTAATGGTTACGTCTTCTGTAATGTCCAAACTCAGTACCTGTTTAATAAAGGAAAGAATTTAAATTACCCAGTTTTAGAATAATATACTGAAAACATGGCTCACATTTATTCTCACATTATGAATGAAAGCAGGAGCATCACTGAAGATTTATGTAAGTCTCATATTCTGTATTCAGATTTGGAACTCTTTTCTCCTTTAAATGAAATTTCACAATCTGTTTTATTCAGCAGCACAATGTACTGGCAACATGCAATTCAATGAGATGGGTGTTGTCTGCCTCCCCCACCAAAGATCTTCATTTAACAAATAAATGAAAGAACAAAATAGGCAAACTTTGTTCTGCTCTAAAATTGCAGTGTGTTCTCTCTTTTTGAACATAGGGTTTTTATTAGAGAGAACGTATCTGCATCTCCTCTTTGCCCCAATCAAACTTACTAAATTGGACTCGATTTGTCATATGTGGGGTCTCATTCCCATGGGATCAGTGTGTGGGGGGGGTGGGAGGAAGGGTTAGAACGGAGCTTTGCTAAGATATGACTTTACTTCCCTGTGACCGTGAGTCACACTGATGTATTTCTGTTGCTGAGAGCATGGAATGAACTAGATGTTAAAGTGATTTAATGGAAAGAAGCTACAGTGGCTTAGCTCTGACTCCACAGGACATGCTCTGATGGCCCCAGATAATCCTACTGTATGATTATGATAACCCTTGTGAGCATGGAGGGTTAAGATGGCATAGATGTGAACATGTGGACCATATTTTATTTTTTGTTTATTACACGATAAACCTTAAGGAATATCTTTGACATTATCATTTTAGTACATGTTAACATATCTGAAGTTGGAGGTTTTTAAAAAGTTTTTACTAACCTCAGCATTTACAATGATTAAAATAATCAATAATACAATGAATTGCTAATCAATTCTATTCTAAAATACTAAATTGTACATTATATGTTTTCTACAAAAGTGAGCGCCAGAACCCCATGTGAATGCAGTTTTCTTTCAAATGCCCTTTGAAGATGTAACTGCACTGAGGAGCTGCAGTGCCTTCAGCTGTTACCTTATATTCCGCCCTTTCTCAGGAAACAGACGTGAATGTGGTTTGGAAGAGGCTTCTGTAAGCGGACAGGACGGAGGTCAGAAAAATCCTGTATCGTTGTCTCTTCCAAGAGCAAATATTATTGATATGTAGTTTTCTTTTTCTGTTAAAAGTATTAAAATTCTGCTTCTAAAAGGCAGAGTCAGATAACACTTCAAAAAGAGAGCCAAACCTAGTGGCACCGAGGGCCGGTTTAAACTGTGGTATTGAAAATAAGGATCGGCTTCACAGCTAGACGAATTTTTCAATGTGAAACACATGATTTTTCATGTTTGTGCTTTAGACTTAGTGGTAACTACTGCCTCTGGAATTTCTGCGATTGAGGTCCAGTAATTTAATTTTACTCTCTCACTGTTGGGGTTCTAGGTGATCCCTAACCAGCATCTTCTCTTCCCCACCCAGGTCAGAACCCACTAAGAGATAATAGATAGAGTCCAATGAACCGGGTCAAGGAGGTCAGCTTTATTGCTGGTGAAATGTAGGGGACTGTTGTGACTAAGACAGGCGGTGGTACGCCTTCCCAAATAAACTTACACATGCAGTTGGGCGGCGGTGAAAAAGCTCGAGCCTCCGCTGCGGAGGCCTGTCCACGGGGAGCCAGGAGTGTGGAGAGGCAAAGAAGCACCTCTGGGGGCGGTGCTGATTTCCTGGGAGGAAGGGGCTGAGCTGAGCATGCCATTTCTTCCCCCAACTCACCAACCAGATAGCTGGCTCCTCTTTCCATGGGGAGCGCGGAGGGGTGGAGTGAGGCCCCAGGCGGCCCCCCCATAAGCTCCTCTACGTGGAAGTGTGAGGAGAGAGGGGAGTAGGTGTTCCTTGGCATCAGCCCCGGAGACACCTCTGAGTACACCGGCGCTTCAGAGAGACAACGCTCAGGCCTGTAGTTAGTCTGTTATTTAATCACATGCTGAATTGCTTTCTAGATAACAAAAAAGGGATCTATGCACGTACAGTATTCTCTTTTTGTCACTAACCATTTGAGCTAGTTATCAACAGAAATTTATATCATAAAGAGGAACATGTGAATAAGAAATAGAAATAGAACAGGGCGCAAAGGGACCCAAAGGCAGCCACATAGTAAAGAAGGGGCACAGAACTGCACTAATTCTTCAAGGAAAACAGTGGAACTTCCCAGAGGACCCAGCTAGTAAATAATGGTCTTAAAAATTTCTGTAACAAAAGCAAAAAATGAGTCAGATAAGGTTGTTTTAAAAATAACACCCCTAAATGAAAACTGGGTGACCACCTATCTTGGTTTGCTTTGCTATGTCCTGGTTTTAACAATGTTCCTTGTCCCAGAAAACCCTCAGTCCCTGGCAAACTTGATTGCTCTAGATTGAAACTGAGAACATAAAACCATAGATTAATTAATTACCCAAAGGGCAAAGCTAACAGAGTCCAGGCTAGAGCCTCGGCGAGCAGAGGGGTGCCTGGCTTGCTCATCCACTGGCACGGTCTGGCCTGGTGGCTGAGAGCGTGGGCTCTGCGTGAGGCACACCTGGGTTTGAATCCTTGCTCTGCTAGAAGCAGGTGATCTTAGGCAAGTTACTTAATCTATCCTCCGCACCTTGGTTTCCTTATCTGTAAGATAAGATGGCTTTAATATTTACCCTATAGGGTTGTAATAAAGATAAAAAAAGAAGATCCATATAAATGATTAATTAGGCCAGCGACTGGACTTGGTTAGCTTACATGGATTCAGCATTTAATCAGGAGATTTCCCATGAAAGCCTGGATTTCTGACGTTTCTGACAAATCATCAGGTCCTTCCATCAGTGAGGGAAGCTGAGCAGCAGGTTTTCCCTCAGAAGGCGCGTATACTCTCCAGGAAGACGAGGGCCACCCTTTGGATGCCTGTGATTTCCATGCCATGTTATAAGCCTGTGCTGCTTAGAGTGTGGGCCAATCCCGGGGGCTCATCAGGCCCCACTCCAAACGTACTGAATCAGAATTTGCACTTTAATAGGTTCTGCCGGTGATACTTATAGTGAAGTTTGAGAAGTGCTGTTACGAAGCACAGAGCATATTCCTAACCAGGGTGAGCATCGGGATTGTCTGGGGAGCTTTTGCTCCTTTTATACCTACGTCCAGGACCCCAGCCAGACTTACTGAAATCAGTGCCCCCGGTATGGAGCGTTCAGCCTGTCAAATTCAGGCAAGCCACAAGATTTTGCTGTGCATATTTGACAAATATGGGTTTCAGTTTAGATGTAAGGAAGTTAATTGTTATCCTATTGTGGTCCTCAGACAAAACAAGTTTTACCCAAAATGGCAACTAGCCAGCCTGAATATACTTCATGTTGAAATTCTGCCCATCCAAAGGTCTATTGGCTTGTAACTTGTTTGATGAAGCCAGGCTACAGGTGGATTGACTTTTGGAAAGGATGTAGCATGGGTTTGAAGGGGGTGTGTGCTAGTATGTTATTGCTCATGCTGCCTGAATAGTTAAAAGAAACTAGATTGCGCTGAGAAAGTTTCCTTTGTTTTAATATTGTTTTACTAATTTGCAGCGGAGCAGTGAGATTCTAAAAATAGTAACACTATTAGCTGACTTTTTTTTCTTTAAAGCTATTTTGGCTTGCTCTTAGGAAAATACTTAACTTGTTGCTTTGATGGAGTTCTGGAACTCTCAACCAGTGTGTGCCTTCAGGCCTCCTAGTTATTATTTGTTAAATTACTTTTCAAGGTTGCTAATTGCTTCTCTGATGCTCTTAGTAACATAACCCTCCTCCAAAGTCTATTTGATCAGATTATCAGAGCTGCCCTATTAGAAATTTCCAGTGTTAATTCCCTTTTATAGAAAACTGGTATATATAGTAAGCTTATATTTGATGAACTTATCTTTTCAAGTGATTTTAAACTAATTTTCTTTAATCCAGTTCTTCTTGATATAGACTTTTCATGTCAATATTTGCCACTTATTTCCTCTACCTATTTATAAAATATCACTTTCTCTGTCATTCTGTTAGTAGTATCGAGTGACTAATGGCAAAATGGAGAGTTTTAATATTTAATTGTAGTACTTAGCACTTTATCAGTTATTGGGAACTTCTGATTCCACCGCTTCATTCAGATTGGGTAAAATGAAAAGTAGCTGACGATCATGACTGTAGACTAGACCCATGGACCAGCAGTATTATTACCTGGGATTTTGTTAGAAATGCTGAATCCCAGGCCTTCTCCACACCTACTGCAGCGGAGTCTGCATTTTAACAAGATGCCCCCAGCAGATGATTTATGAGAAGCTCTGGACTAGATGGTTTACTGGTCACTCTACTTTAGGATGGTAAAAAGTACTAGCAGATATGGTGGTGATGAAAATAATGTCTGAAGGTATCTTTTCCCCCATCTGCTCAATCCTGCTTTTCTTCTTAAATTTCATTTTGATGAAGATACTACTTGTCCCAGATCGTCTTCTTATCTCTTCAGCCAACTCTATTGTCCTTCCTTGGTTAACCTTCCCCGTAGCCATAGAGCAAGCAGGCTGTAGCTTGAATTCTCTACTCTTTCATGGTGAATATTTTATTTGGAGACACATATAGCGAGCATGGGATCGTCTGTGCTTTGTATGCTTTTGAGTTTTAGATCTTTCTACTTGGTATCTGCCTCAAATCTCTCTGGCATTTAAGCTATTCTGAGTCCATCCCTTAGGCAGCACTTTTAAAAATTCTGGTTGCACAGTAGAATCACATGGTGAGAGTTAAAACGTGAATGACTTGGTTCCATCCCTGATGAGTGAATAAATAAATTTCTAAGGGTTGGCTGTGGGCATCAGTATATTTAAAGTCAGTTTCTGGGGATGGGGTCTGGGTGATCCTGTTGTGTAGCCATGCTTTCACACCACTGCTCCAGGCTCCGTCGTATTTGTCACTAAGGACATCGGACTAGGGTATCAGGTAAGTAGGCCACAATCACTGCTCTGAATTATGTCATAGTCTTTGAAGAAGGCAGGCACGTAAGCCGATAATCACAGCAGGGCGGACATAATCACAGTGGGGTGGGACAAGTGTAATAGGAGTTTCAGGACAAAGTACTTGGCAGCACTGCAGAGGTTTGATAAAAACTGTGGATGTGGGGAGTTGGCATTTGAGTTGAGCCTCCAAGGATGTGTCGTCATTTACTGGGTGGGCAAGGAGAACACTCCAGGGAGGAGGAATAGCACGTATGAAGGCGCAGGGTCGTGGTCTTATCCCTCATCTTAGGTGTGGGATACTGAGGCCCGCTTCTTATCTATCCCGGGTTCCTCTACACGCTGTTTAACATTTCTTCTCCATGGGCTGACCATGCTACATTTTCCACTTTTCTCCGTAACTACAAATCATTTGCCCTTAATTATTAGGTTGATTTTTTCAAAAATAACAGCTTCGTTGACATACTTTATAAACCTGTATTAGAGTCCTATGGTTGCCGCAACTAATTACCACAGCAAATTGTCACAACAGAAACTTATTGTAGTCCTGGAGGCCTGAAGTCTGAAATCAGGTGTCAGCAAGGCCACACTCTGCCTGGAGGCTCTGGTGGAGGATGCCTCCGTCTGCGGTGACTCGGCTGCTGACATTCTTAGGTTCTCTTGCTTTGGGGTCACATCACTCCATAGGTCTCCACATTGCCCCCCCTCTGTGTGTGTGTCAAATGCCCTTCTCTTATAAGGGCATTTGTTATTGAATATAGGGCCCTCCTGGGTAATCCAGGATGATCAACAGTCTCATCTCAAGATCCTTAGCTTAGTTACATCTGCAAAGGCCCTTTTCCCCAGTAAGGTAACTTTCACAGGTTCCGGGGATCAGGATATGAATGTAACTTTTTTGGGGCCACTGTTCAAAAATACTGTACAACTCAATGATTTTTAATATAGTCACAGAATTGTGCATTCCTTACCACTATCAATTTTACAACATTTTCTTCACCCCCAAACGAACACTGTTTGCTACCCATTAGCAGTCACTCCTCATTTCCCCCCCCCTTAAGCAATCACTAATCTACTTTCTGTCTCTATGAATTTGCCTGGTCTGGACATTTCATGTAAGTAGAGGCATACAATATGTGGCCTTTTGTGTCTGGCGGCTTACACTTGACATAATGTTTTCAAGGTTCAGCCATGCTGTAGCATGCATCAAATGCCCTGTTATTTTTATCTGTTGCTTAGATGTGCCACAATTGATTTATCTATTCATTAGTTCATGGACATTTGGGTTGTTTCTACTTCTGGGCTGTTATATGTAATGCTGCTGTGAATATTGGTATACAGAGTTTTGGGTGATGTATGTTTCTCTCTTGGGCATATACCTAGGGATAGAATTGCTGGGTTTATGGGAACCTTTTCAGGAACTGCCAGACAGTTTTCCGAGGTGGCTGCACCGTCTTAGAGTCTCACCAGCAGTGATGTGGGCTCCTGTTTCTCCTGATTCGGTTTTATTGTCTTCTTTTCTTTGGTTCTGTGGCCAGTTCTGTCTTTTCTGATAACCTCCTCACTAAGGTTGGCAGAAGAGTATTTCCATTCTACTTCTGTTAGTGTCATAATTTTGAAGAAATGAAAGGTGATCAGTGCTTATCTACTCTTAAATATATTTATTTTTGGTTTTACCCTACTTCCCAGAAACTTAGTTTAAAGCAAAAATTTTTTTCGATGCCTCTCTCCAAATAAACCATTTTAGCTCCCGAAACCCCAGAAGTTCTAGGTCAGCTGTAACCTTGATGAAGGCGGGCACCTTATCTTTGGCTTTTTCTTGTAAACTTAGTATGCAGCCTCTGGGGACTGTCTGATAAGTCTTAAATGAGAATGTGATTGTTGTCTCATGTGTAAAAGGGTTTACTGTTTTACAGGCTGAGTGATTTTTCTGAATTATGTACACATTTCTGGTGGCCTAACAACTTTGTTATTGTTTTTAATGTGCAGATGAACAGGAGACCGAAGATGTGGCGGAAGAATGTAAAGAATCTTAAGCAAAGACCTGCTGGGATATGCTTTAAGAAAGTTGGTAAACTAAGTTAAATTATACCTTTTCTGATTCTTTGAATTCAACAGACCATTCCTCAAATAATGATTTTAATATTTGGACACTCTCTTTCTGGAATGCATTTCTTTGATAGTTTTGAGACTTGCGGTATTATGGTTTTCTTTATTGAAATTCCTGGGAAAATTGTTTTTTATTGCTAATCTCTCAACATCGGGGATACATTATAGAAACCAACATTTTTTTGTATATGTGCTGTTTTAAAACTAGTCGACGTACTGATTGTTCTATATTTGATTTTATGTGTTACAACCTTAACTGTGATTCAGGCAGATTTAATCACTATGAATGTTTGTTTTTGGCCCGGACTTTCCTTCTTTCCTCCAATCTAATGCCTGTTAAGTACAACTTGCCATAGGAATAAATGAATTTGCTCAACAGAGCAATGCTAAGGTAGGCTTGACTATCTTATTAGCAATGATACTTTTCTCTAGCAGGAGTTTGAATTATTTGATATATTACTTTAAGTTTGTTATCTTTTAGAGTTTATCTTTTAGAATGCAGCAAATAAAGATCAGCTACTTTAAAAATACCTCATGATTCTATTATAAGAGAGAGAGTATGTCTAGTTACAAGTCAGTAACCTGGATTCATGAGAAAATTTCATGCCAACACTCCATAGGACGAATTGGTGTTAGAACCAGAAGTCCAATTTATTTTTTATTAAAAAAAAATGAGCTGGCTGTTGTGCTGCCTTTGAAAAAATTTGGGGTAATATATATGTAGCATTATTATTTTTTGCTTGCATTATTTTTTTTTTAAATCTGAAAAACAGATATCCATAGTTATTCAATAATTTTCCAGAACTCCAGTGAGTGGAGGGATTATGAAAGTTAGTAAAATGACATATGTGAATTTTAAAGCATTTAGCCTCATGTAATAGACACAAATTCACCTCGAGAGAGGCCATATAAATATGTTGTAGAGAGCCTGGGTTCTGGAGCCAGAGATATCTGTTTTCAGATCCCAAATTGCATTTAGTTGATATGTACCCTTGGCGGCAGTTTCCTAATATCTCTGAGTCTTAGTCTTCTCCTCATGTGTGAAATGGTTAAATCAAATAACGCATATAAAGCTCTTAGGATAATGCTTGGCATATGGCATACATTTCATAAATGTCAGTTATGACACTGCCCATGATGGCAAAATTGTTCAGTGCTGGAATCCAAATTTCACAAACATTGTTATTCTTTTATATAATATTCTCTTAAACCGACAGCCACATGGACACAGCGGGGGTGGTAGATACTGTGTGCACTGTATGGATTCTCTGTTAGTTTGGAAATACAGGCTTTCTTCCTCTGCCACTGACTCAGTCCTTTAATCCTCCTCCCCTACCGGAGCCTTCTTCATCAGGTCGAGCCTACCCTCAGATACGAGTTGTCTTCCACTTGCAAACGACACAAACCCAATTCAGACAGATGTGAGCAAAGGGTTATGTAACTGGGATGTCAGCAGTTGGGATAATGGTAGTGATTGCTTACACCAAATTTTCTTGATTTTTTAGAGTGAAGAATTCTGTAGCTACTGTTTTCAGAGCACTCGCCACACACTTTTAAAGCATCTCCACAACATGCAATTGCGTTGCTCACCCAGTGCCGTCATTCACGGGTTAGAAAAGTAGGTGGGAGAATTTATATGCTTCAATCCTGTTTGCCTTTGTTTTTTGTTTTTTTTGAGTTAGATTTTGAAAAGCATTCAATGAATGACATTAATAAAATGCAACATTGTGTCCTTTATGGGAGCTCCTTCTCTTCTGTATTTTTAATGTGGCAGACTAATTTGTTCTTTTATTCCACAAATCCAGCAAGTGTGTATTTTGAGCTGAGAACTCAGTCTTAAATTGTATGGAAACCGTGAATGTTAACCATATGTACTGGGATCTCTTTCTGGGTATGCCATACTGATTAGGGAATGGAATTTATCCATACCTCACAACATAAAGCCAGTCGAGAACAAATAAACGTGGATACGGTAAGTATAAATATAAATTTCCATATGATTTATTGTTGTTCCTTGTACATAAGAAACAGTAATATACAACTTACACTGCTTTAGAATGTAAAATGGATAAAATGTACAAAAAAAAGCACATTCCTAGAAAAAGGTATTGGCAAATAGTAAAAACTGGGGGTGGGGCAAGCAAAAAACAAATCAAAAACAAAACAAAACCCAACAATTCTTCAATTCAGTGTGCAAACATTTTATAAAAATAGAAATACTAACTCTACAGGCAGTATTTCCTGATAAATTATTTAAATAGCGTATCTACACAATCTGAGATATCTATTCCAATGGCAATGAGAAAATAATTTATAAAAATAAAGCAATGGTATACAAGATGATAGAAAAAAACATAACTTTCAGAAAATGTATTTAACATTTCCATGCTGTTTCCTTACCGGGAATACTTTTCTGCAAAGGATTTTTATACTATGTACAACTGACTTTTTTAGGTACTACAGTAGCTTTAAGTTTGTTAGACACTTAAACTCTTTCTGCTTGAGCCAAAATTCTTTACTCAGTCACACAACAATGAGGTAATATTTGTATATAAGTTTCACCTTTGTCATTTTTTTTTTTCTTTTGGAAAAATGAAAAAATAGTAAGCGTAGATGCTTTTCTTCTCCCTGGAAATAGGCACAAGGGGTGGGGTAAGACAGTATCAAAGGCCTCATGGCTTTCTTTGCTATCTAAAAACACTTGCAAATGGACAACCAGCTAATTCCACTGGAAAAGACAAAGAAAAAAAAATCCCAAATCATTGAAGCACAAAGTGAAGAGCAGCTGCTTTGCCAATTTCCCTTGTGCCCCTTTCTTGCCAGAGATTTGCTGATAAAGCTCAACTGCTTGCTCTCGCTTTCCACACGAAACCTAGGTTCCAGGTAGAACAGAGTTAATAAATAATCTGTATTTACAATCTTACAGTCACGAAGACTCAACAAAGATGACATGGGTAGTCCTTACGCGTCTTCCTGTTCCATGAAGTCTTTCAGACAGGTTCTCGAGTAGGTAAAAAATAAATATTTTACATTGTAAAGTGTAAAAAAACCAAAACTACAGTCTAGAAAACTCCATGATATTCAGGAAAAAAGAGAGAAAAGGAATGTTTTAGTTAAGTTGATACATTTGTGCCTTTCTAACCATAGAAATACAAGCATGGCTGCCCCTCCCTTGGGAGGCAGCCTGGTGCTCACTGAGATGGTAGGTTTTACTCTCCTGCTGCGTCTACACAAGCTACATCTGGAATAAAGCCAATTCCAGCGTAACCAGGCAGTGGCAGCCAGCACTGCCTCACACGCTAGTTAAATTCTGCCTCCCCACTCTGGTCACTACATGTGACGGGGAAGGGGTGGGGATCCATGAGGAAGTCCAGCCGTCAGTCTGTCCCTCCCTCCCTCCCCTGCTTCTGTTTAAGTGCCACTCAGCTAACACCGGTCAGCATCATGAAATCCAGCAAGTCTTTCAATCCCCTGAAAATGGTTCAGTACCGAACGTGTAACAGTTCCTCCGTATTTTCCTCACACAGTCACCCCTTGGGTACGTGCCCTCCCCTCAGGGCTTTGGCCCCTGCTCCCCCCATTCCCGAGGGAGTAGTCAGGAGTGGTTTGGTTGCCAATTCTAGTGAGTCCTCCCCTCTCTCACGTGCCCAAAAGCACTCCTGAGTCCACTGCTCAGATGGCTTCGCAACAGCGGCCTGCTCTGGCAAAAGCTGGGTGGAGCTGGCACCTTCCAACCGAAGCAGGCGGATGCTTCTGCTTTTCCCAAGAGCGAACCAAAGTAACTGTTTATATTCTTGGAAGATTCACTTCTCATTCAGAGGCTGAATGCTGAGTCTGATTTGGATAATTGCATTTTCTTGAGTCAAGTCACATGTTTTAGGAGTTCACACTGACGCAAGCAGAGAAAAAGGCAGGCAGGGAGGAGTGATCCTGGGGGTTTTCTTAAGCCCATAGTTCCAGAAGGTGCAATGCCAGCATTGGTTATGATCAGTCCTTTGATCAATAGTTTGAAGATTAGGAATCTGTTAAATAAACACAAATATATAAATAAAAACTCATAAAAGCACTGTCATCTTAATATCGGCTAATGAATTGACAATCTAAGTAGAGCTCTACTTTTATAACGACAAAAGCATAATTTAAGATGATCAGTTTATAAAATTAAATGTTAATGTGTTTGAACACTGTTGCTAGGAGACGGACACAGCATGACCTTGCAGAACTTAGGCTATGCTCTCTAAGGCCTTCGATGTTTAAAGTTTAGAGTGCTTTATATTAAACACTCAGACTCAAAGACTATCAATTTAAATATTTTGAGTAAAATTAACCATTTTTTTCGCACTCTAATTGACCTTGTTGGCATGAGGCTTTGTCCCAGTAAACATTTATGAAGCATTCATTTATTTTAGTAGGCCCAATGCTGGACCCATGAGATTAAGTAACCACTGAGTGAATGAGAAAGAAGAAAACACAGCGAAGGTTAGCGGTGAACATTAACATCCCAGTATGAAGGCGATACTCTTTCCCTTCCTGCAGAACAGGGCAAGTGGTGAAAGACAACTTGTGCCGCAGCGGCACAGATACAACTACGAGGAGTGAGGCAGGGACACATGTCAGGTGTTAAGTACTATTCGTGTGGCCTGAGCTGTGTAGGAGCTTGTCTGCAGTTTACCTTCACACCGTGTAGGAAGAGCACAGAGATTACTAAGCAAATTAACACCGTTAACAAGGCTCAGGGCTTCACAAGCCACAGTTCACAGGCCTTATTTCCTTTTTATCACTGTGTCTTCAACAGCAAACTACAGATAACCCTGTCTGTACAACAGTCTTTAAATCAGACTCTCCCATAACTGGCATCTCGATGTTAGTCTGAACCGGAGACATCAACCGTCCATTCGCTGTCATGTTGCTCCTACCTCTGCATTCGTATTTCAGGTCGGAGAAGAACACCATTTCCTGAGAGAAGACAAACAGCCCTAGCCGCCCGCCAGCGTAGGTTTTGTCGTAGATGGGTCCCGAGTCAGCCATGATCTTCTTCCCCTCATACATCACCACTCTGCAGGGAGACAGGAAATCTCGTTAGCGACACCCCTATGCTGTGGTCTCTTCCTCGCTGCCCACCATGTGGCTGTCGGTGGAATTTAATCAGGGCCATCTTACCGGATGAAACCAGTCTTGGGCCTGTGGCTGAGACGCCATCTGTAGGCGGTGAAATCTTTCCAGCCTATGTGACGAGGGTCGTGCCACAGGGTGCGCACCTGTAGGACAAGGGAAAGGGAAGGTTGAAACACAGCTCCGTGACAAAAAGACTTATATTTCATTCCATAAGAAACAGTGCTCGAAGGGTAAGGCTGGCCCAAGTTAGAGGGGTGACGTAGGATTTTCCTAAGGCCTTTCATTTGCTGTGTGCCCTTGAGCACATGTAAAGCAGAGACGGGAAGGGAAGGGAAGGGAAGGGGCCTTCTTGTGGGAAGAGGCTGGAACTGCCTGCGGATCTGAAGGATAGCCAGTTAGGGTGCCTGTCAGACACAGTTGTGGTTTTACAGAGCAGATATTAATGCTGCACTGCCGCGGGGACCGTGGTGTCTGAGGCCCCCCGAGCCCTGGTCACAGCACAGCACCCCAGCGCTAGCCCAGCAGCCGTGGT